GAAAATGTTCCATGCTGGAAAAATTAGGTGATAGTTTATTTCTCTCTCTCTCTCTTTTTTTTTTTTTTTTAGAGAGAGATGTATAAACTATTTCATAATTCCATTAGAACTGAGTCTTTACATCTTTTTCAGGAAGTCACATGGTGGGCATCTTAGATAAACTACTTTCAAAGTCCAGTGTTTGATTTGTATACCAGGGACACTTCAAAAGTAGTAGTGGTATTAGGAATTTCTGAACTGACATTTTGTGCTGCCTTTACCATTTGAAGTTTCCTCTTAATTAAATGCATGTAGACACAGTTGCAAACATAGGAATTTATAGTAGGTATGTTATTTCAGAAAGCATTAAAAGCAAGTAAAGCATTTAGGCTTAAAAAAAGAAATGTAAAGTTGACTGTATCAGGCCCCACGGTCGCAGACATATTATGCCACAGGACATTTCAGTCAAGATACCTTGCGTGCTAATGGTAAATTGGTATATTGTCTGCACAGCGCACAACATAACTTGAAGCAAACTACCTGAGGATTTGTGTTCTTTGTGAGGCAGCCAAAAATTAATGTGTGATAAATTTATTGCAGATTATGGAAAACTGAGAAGAGCTAGGTCTGAACTCATAGCATCAAGCACTTACTCCTAATCCCTAAAAGGCAAAACCTCATGTCACATGACTTATGCACAAGGGTTAAAGAAACAGCACAAGCTTCTGATACTATGCCCGCCAACAGAAGGGAAAGACCACAGAATCCCAAAGCACTCTTTTGTTTCCACTGGAAAGGAAGTAATCAAAATCACTGTCACTTACTCTCTGTTGGCAGCACAGGGGGAAGTGTGGTCTTCGGCTTCTTGGTCTTCTTCTCAGCAGGCTTTGAGGTCTTTGTGGAGGAGGCATCTGCAGTCAAAACAAATAATAAAATATTTAAAAATCAATAACAAAAAAGCTGCCTATTACACCAGTTTGTTTTGGATCTTTCTGTAAAGTTAGAGGAAATTGCTGTCCTTTCAGTTTTAAAAGAAGATTTTCTGCAGAGACTTGCTGGAGAATGTCACATTCTGAAAGGAAAAACAAGCAGAGAGGGAGAAGCCCTTTATGAAAGCAGCTGCACTGAGAACCTGAGAAAGCAACTAGACAAGAGGCATCATCTAAGATGATAGGTCTATTTTAAATGAATAGAACAAAGTACAGTGTGCACAAAGCTGCTTTAGGCAGTGCATGGAAGAGGGAAACAAAGGCACATTTGAAGCATCATTTCATCCAAATGAATCTCTTGCCATGTCATTCTTCTATTCCATTGTCTATGTGATCTATATAGATGAACACATTTTGAAAAGTAGCATTTCCTCTCTGTGTTTAAATCTTTCCTACCAGGTATTATTACACATTGGTTCATTCCTAAATGAAAATGTCAGAAGGGCCACTGCAGGACTCAAGTTTGATGGATTTCATTGTTCTTAAGATTGATCCAGCAACTGCTCAGCACTACAGGCTCCACGACAGCTATGAGCCAGTCCAAGCTCCCTTCCCCGTGTATCCCACATGACACAGACACATATAAATAGAAGGTGCAGCCATTTTTCAGCAAGGTTATCCCAGGTCGAGCATCTCATATAATGCAAATCCTAACAAGCCCCACTTGTTAGATTGTTTGATCCTGACATTTATCTTTGGAAGAAAGATCCCAGATCTGGATTATAATGCCAGCAATATCTGTATCAATTTATAACTTTCAAATATTCTGCTTTCAGAGGGTTTGTGCATGAGATAGCTGTTTGAAATTTAGTTACCAGAAAAAAGATAACACAAGCATTATGGAACCACCTATTTCAGTCACAGAACTTCTAGGCGCTAAAGTGTGAAAATTTATGTGTCTAAATTTCCTAAAAATTTAATCGGGGAAGACAGAATCTCCTAGCACACAACTCAGAGCAGAAGGCTGAGCTAGATCTGAGTTCAGACACTCAGATTCTATAGATTTGTCCCTGAGGTAATTTGACAACTGAAGTCAAACATTCTAAAAATCTGATTTGAGTCTACAGGGCCAAAAAGAATGTAATGATATTTATGGTTACTTGTTGAGTCTAAAAATCAGCACCTGGGATGCTGACAGCAGCGTGAGTAGAAGGGATCCATTTTAGTTGTTGGTTTAGATCACAATTCTAATTTAAAAATAACTGTCATGCCCTCTGCCAGTCACAGACATGGGATATGAAGTGGCGTCTCTCCTAAATAGTTGGAGTTTGGTGTGGTGCCATTCTCAAAAACCTCTTCTCAGTTATACAAAGCAGCATGCTAGTAGGGAATGGAAAAGACAGATGAGGCATCTAGCATCAATATAAGGAATGTGGTCATTCTGGTGTCCAACATTATGGAGCAGTGAGCTCCTAACACTTCGGATACAAATATCAGGTTAAGCCAGACAGTTGATGTAACACCATTCATGTCATCATGCAAGGAATATGTCGTGAGCTGATAGCCTCCGAAGATCAACAGTTTACTAGCCAAAGTCTACTCCAGCCTCCTACAACATGCATTGCATAGCAGGAAATTGGAAGTGGCAAATATGCTAAGGGAGGCTTCAGGAAGGGAAGTGACTACTTGAAGAAGATCAGAAGACAAAGTCAAAGGGAAAAAAAACACATAGGTGCCAGAGACATTTAAAAGATGCTATGGCAGTACTGGAGAACTACTGTGTGCTAAGCACTCGATGATCTGATCCCTTAACTCTCTGCATCCATGGTAGTTAAAGTGTTACAGGATAGTAGATTTTGCTTAAAGACTCTTCTTGGTAGTCTTCTTTGAACTTCAGCACTGGTAAAATTTATTGCTTTAAATTACACAAATATAAAAAATAGCTTATCAAATGTCTAAGCTAGATGACGTTGTGACCATAGTATCAGAGAAGGTACCAATACGGGAACCAATATAATTAATTGTAATTATTTGTATAATTAATTCCTTTTTCAGCTACATTATGATTGACCCTTACTGATGGAATTACAGGATCATAGTATATTCTTACCTTGTACCATTCTACATCAGGAAAACAAACACCAATTTTCTTTTCTAGGCCTACTGCCCCAAATACCATAGATATAACACAGTTGCGAAGGTTCAGCACCCAACATCTACATTATTTGGCTTATTTTTTAGTTTTATGTTCTTTCTAGTCACAATGGAAACTATCAAATTATTTGGGGATAAGCTTACCCTTATCAGCTTAAGGTGAGATGATAAGAAGCACATTTGGTTACTTAAAGTCCCTTAAGTAACTTAAAGTCCCTGACAGTTTTGAAAGTCTGTGCTCTCAACCTCATAACAAACCATTTGCCCAAGGCCAAGACTACTTGTCAAGAATACTGTGTCATCAGCATGACTGAGGCTGAAAACAGGTACCTCAGTCAGCAAACTGTCCACCTTCTAAGACTGGCATACAAGGGTGGCTGAGTTGCTAATTTGTTTATTTTTGCTCATTTTGATTAGAAAAAAAATAAATTACCAAAGGTCAACGAATGCAAAGAATTGAAAAGTTCTGGACTGAGAAATGTGCCATATGTAGTTCTGAGGCAGACTGGTACCAAGGCTCGCACACCAAATTCCTACATGCTCTGAAAGAATGCATACAGCCCAGAGGCAAATCTTCATGAATTCAACTTACTGTTCTAAAAACCTTGTACAGATACAGCAGACAGCAGGAGAACATAGATTATTCCATGAAGTATTCAGAGCCCTTGGCTTTGTGCTGTCTCTGCTCATGCTCCTTTATGGTCAGCGCTGAATTACGTGCTGACCAAAAAAGTTCAGAAGGGAAGAGGGCAGAGTTTATTTTTGTGTACATAGTTTAGAAAGGCTGGCACTGGGAAATAGAGAGAGGAAGGAGGAAGTGCTAAGGAAGGGTTTTCCCACATCCAGCCAAGTACTTACCTTCTACCAGCACTTTGCAAGCACATTCAGCTTTTCCCGCGGCATTCTCAGCTACGCATTTGTATTCGCCCCCATCTTCGGGCATGGCCTTCTCCACGGTAAGTGAACACAGCGTGCCTAATGCAAAGGAAAAAGAGAACAAATTGATGTTATGTTGCAGTTCACAAAAACCTTAGTGCTCTTAAGGAACAAAACCCATCATACCATCCAGTCCTTTACTACAGATGATCATCATTGTTAAATGAAGATGTTTTGTCCTTAAAAATTAAACATTAGAATTGGAACCTTATTAATGCCAAATAAAATAAAAACACATTGATAGATAATTGACTCTTATTGCTGTTCTCTAGGATACTCAAAGCTGTCCCTGCAGTCCTAAAGCAGTTAACAGATGAAGGCAGAGAAGATCCAGAGCAGAGTCTCTACTGCTGTTCTTTGTCTTACAGCAGGGTTAAGAAGTCCTCACTCAGATGATCTTTTTCCAAAAGTCCTAGCAGTGTAGGACTGTAAATAAGAGGGCTTCTGTCAAATAAGCATCTGGAATATTTTGATTCAGTCTTATCTCTAGCACTCCCAAAAGCATCCACATGTGAAAGTAGAACTTCAGCTTCATGCCCAAGTTTAAAAATGGCACTGAGAGACATTTTCTTTTTGAATTATTTCAAGAACAAGTGCCTCGCATTGTAAAACATCCATAAGAAAGTCCAATATATCAGTGCTAATCAAATTTGTTGCTGCAAGAAATCCATTTCTTTTCAAACAAAAAAGCAAAGTTTTACTTCATTGGGTTTGCAGAAACAGGATGCAACATAAGCTCCGTAGTTACCAAGGGAATATATGACCCACGGGAAATAAATTTCTTCTTAAAAACTAAAACTCTGTGAATCCAAACAGAAGCTGTTCCCACAAGCTGAAGGATGAGGAAGGAGAACTGTGGTTTACCTAATCCCTCACATTCACTTACATTGCTTGGGACAACGAAGTACTTTGCTTGCCTGGGAGAACCCCAGTTAAAACACTCAAGACTTTCCCCTTCCAAATATCCCTCATAAAGTGAGGGCAAAGTGTGGGCTTGCTTTTTGCTTCCCCACCAGAAAGCCTGTCCTGTCCTTTAGACACAGCCTGAGACGTCATGCATTTCCACCCATTGCTGTTAGCTTGTCCAGAATGCCTCCACCTTCCACTTATTTCAGCCTCAGTAATACCTTCCCCTCTTCCTCCATTTACCTTTCATACAGTCTCTCCTAATTAATGGCAAGACTGGACAGATCAACATACCCCTTGTGATGCTGGAAATGGCACAGCCACAGGTGACATTGGTCCTTGAAAAGAACCTGGAAAGGTCCTTGAAAAGAACACCCCTCTGTCAGAAGTACTTTGCGAGTTTAGTGGCTCCACTTGGAGACTAGACCTCAGTTCTGACATGGCAATTATGCTTTTGGCGTTCAGATTTTCCCTCATTGTAAAACTGGATGTTATTATGCATGACAAATCTTATTAAAAACATTCAAATGGTTCTCAGCAGATTTGGTTTGCCAGACACACACAAGGGTTATAAGCAAATGAATTTTCCCCTCACGCTCCACAAGATCAAGAAGCTCTAAATAATGACTATTTTCCCCCCAAGAAATGATGTGAAAACTATCTCAGAAGAGGAGCAGTGACCCCTCACTCACATGTGCAGTGCTCAGCCAACCACAGAGTGAAAAGACAAGCCAGATGCCTTCCCTGAGGCAGCTCTTCTTCATGAGTCAGGCTGTGCCAAAAATGTCACGAGCAGCAGTTCCATTCCAAATGGAGGAGGGACACTAGAAAAGTATTCTTGCAGGCATTTAGCAAATATAAATCCACATGTCTCTGTGGTTTAAAGAGACAACTGGAGACCAAGCCAAAGATAATTTCCAGTCTAAGAATTTGTATAAATCCATGTAACGATTAGAAAAGATCACACATTAGAACTTAAAAATGCTATTGTGAAAGAACATAAACTATGGAACAAAGACATACATGTGAAGGACATCTCTGGCCACCTTATTGCAGAGAGGGAGTCTGACTTGTAAGGATAACTGGATCCTTAAGGGACTGGAACAAAGCAGCATTTACTTTAGTTTCTGCTGTTTTCTACCTTCTCAGCTCATTGAAGACTAATGTGACATAGGGTCATTCCTCACCACTCACACTGTTGCACTGTTTTCCATACAGCACACTGCAGCAATGTAAGTTAGCAGCTTGTGAGAAACACTCCCTTGTGCAGCACATACAACAGAAACAACCCACCCTACCAGTAACTCATTTTCCATCGTTATACTAAAATCTAGAAGCAAACTCTAATGTTTTCTCATGACAATCCTCAAATTGTCATAGGCATTCAGTGCTCTTAGTTTTGGTTGTAGAATCTAGCCCTGGCCAGGCTTTGTGGCAGAAGTCTGATTGAAGCTGCATTTGGTTTATTCCACTGGAAGCAAAGTCCTCATGAAATAATGTCAGCCTTACTCCTTCCAACAGAATATTTATATGCGTTGAATTTTAATGAAATTATTTTGGGAGGAGGAGGATGAAGGAAATCTGGGTTTTTTTGAGGGCTGCATTCTTTTTCTCCTGACTTCCACCACCCTGCAGTAATGACCTGTATCCTGTTTCCTTCAGCTTGTTCATATCCTCCAGCAGCTATATAGAACAGCAATACCAAGTATGCAGGGATCGCCGAGCCTGGTGCTCCCATCAGATGCAATGGTGTTATTCTGCCCTCAGTGGAGGAGTGAGGGGGGAATGAGATAATATGAATCATGTTCCTTTATTTAGCCACTAGATTTCATTAACCTGTGGACTGATAAGACTTAGTGTGAAACTGGCCAGTGGTTAAAAAAAATATTAGCCAGGCTTGGTCAGGAGTATAAGAGGAGGCTTACAGAGTGTGTGGCTGTAGAAAACTCATTGTCTTAGAAAACCAGGGGGAAAAAAAAGCAAACAGGTAAAACCTGATGAGTTATCTTAAGTCCAGGAAACTCCCCAATAGACCTATATTCTATGATCTAGAGCTACAGTCAACTCTTGGGGCTACAGGGCCAAATGCCTTTCAATGAAATATTTGGTATTTCCTCTGCAAAAACCCTTCATGACCTGTAACAAGTTTATTTTCTCATGACTACAAGAAAGCTCAGACTGCTTACTCCAGTTGGGTATTCTGAATGTTTGGGACTTCACCAATCACAGCCAAATAAAATAATTTGCTATCCATTTTGTTTCCTCATCCCTCTACTGTTTCAGGAACCAGCCAATGGACAGTCTTTAAAACAATGTCACAAAGTGAAGGATTGGAGTAAACATGAACACTTAGACATCAGAACTGGTGCAGCTCTAGAAAAGACCTAAACAGCCACAGAAGGTGACAGTTTACTGCAGGCTCTGGTTTAGATACAGAAAGCCTTTCCCTTGTACTTTGAGCTATTAAAGGATTTTCTGACTTACTCAAAAATAGTGCAAGCCAGTTTAAAATATCTCTAGGCTTCTGCATTCTTTCCATGAAACTCCACAGAAAGTCAACTTCAGATATAAAACAAATACACAAACCAACATAAAACCCAGCTCCTGAGTCAAATTCCCTGCACTGGCACATAGCTGGCCAACCTCCTGACTCCTATCCATGATGCAGACTGAAGTTTCTGTCTTTCTGATTTGTCTCTCATAGCATAAAGAAGTATTGTGGAGCACTCAGGCAATATTAATAAACACTAGGCCATGAGAAATTGTGCCTAGGGGTCATAACAATTTTGTTAAGGAACTTGTTGGCCCGTGGTGAATAAAACACAAATTTCTGGGAAAGTGTAAATATGTGCTAGTGGAAAAATCATGTTTAAAAATGGCAAGTGGGTTGACCTGGAAAGTATTGACTAAGTTACAATAACAACAGGCAAAGTAGTAAAAAAATGCACACGAATTTCAGAGAAGAAACATTTACAAATTTTGTCATTGCTAATTGACAGAGTTTTAAGGAAAACAACTGAAGACGCTCACTTTCATTATTCCTGCAATTACACATTTAACTGGCAAATGTATCTGTGTAAAGGTAAATTCTCTTAGTCTTTCCTAAAATATTTGTGTAATCTCACATTATTCTGCTTGTAATTAAAGCCATATTAATATCATAATGACACTCATTTAGAAAGAGACCTCCCAAAATAAAGATCGCATGATGAATCTAACAATAGGAAATTATCACTTCATATGTTTCTGGTGGATTTCCTCTGTGACCAGACCAGGATCAAAGTTATTTAATATTTTAATCTGTGATGTAGAAGGATTCATAAATTAATGTTGATAAACTGACCAATGATAGACTATCGGAAAGTGAAAAGATAGAGAAAACAGAGCAGTCCTCATAATCAATCTCATTTACTTTTTGAGCTGAGTCGTGTTCACTCAAAGGAGATGGGGCTTAAGACAGTAAAAAAACAAGCATCGATGGACAGCAAGGGATACTCTGTTTTCAGAAGGTTTAAAGGTTTAATACAGAAGTAACAAATGTGGTCTCCCCTGCTGTGATGTAGAAGGAGGACCAATGACCTCCAGTTAGCACAGCAATAGGAAGGTGACTTCCACCTCACTGATGCTGTTACCGACATACAGTTCTGCTGCCTCATTTTCTAAACGGGATAATAAACCAACAAACAGCAACTGAAGAGGAGATATTAAAAAGAAAAACAAAACAAGCCCCCAAGGACTGGATAAAATTAATTATGGAGAGAAAGTTAGTAAGAGCTTGATTTGTCAAGTTTTGAAAAAAAGAGAGAGAGAGGGGTACCTTGACTGCAGAGTTAATGCCATTCTATCAAGTGCAAATGGGCTCTTTAGCTTAGCAGAGAAAGGAAACATATGTATGGAAGAAGAAACCAGATATATTCAAATTAGAAGTAAGACATTACTTTGTTTCTTGACTTAAAAAAAAACTTGTAAGAATAATTAGACATTGCAATAAATTACTAATGATTATAACAAAGGTCTCTCTTTTACTATACTGAAACGTAAATTACGTGCATTTCTGGAAGAAGGAAGATTCGGACAAAAGTGGCAGCAGAAACTGGCATACAAAATAGGGAGTTGTATCAGAACTGACACTC